ATCACAGTATTGTTGCTAAGCGATTTTGGTATCACAAAATTATTTTGCGATCGGTGACGAACAACAACACCGTGATTTCAAACCACAATACCGCTTTCTTCTTCGAAGACGGAACTTCCGAAGAATGACCTCCTCGCCCATCTTCTGACTGTCTTAGTGAAATGATGATTCAAAGAAGGAAGTACGGCATCGTTTGAATTTGATAGCTGCGTTATACACAAGTGTGGGAGACTAGTACGGGGATTCGCAAAGCAACAGTACGATGCACTTGGAGTGGTGGTGATCGATTGTTCTCGTTGTGGCAAGCTGCTCAATCCAACTATACAAAAAACAACAAGACATTTTGTGTTTCCAGTGCGATGGGCACCGAAAGTTCTGTAGGTATTAATCAGAAGGTGGATGGGTGTTGACAAAATATCTCACTAGCTTTTCTCATGAAAAGTTAACGTGTCACTCACCCCTCGGGAAAGCCTTCGAAAGCGTGCACCAGAATTTGAACCAGGGCGAGAGGAGTTGTTCGTACGATGTGACAACTACTTGAGCTATCTGGAATGGCTTTTAACACCTCGGGATACGCAATCAAATTTCGCAGGCACAGTGAAGGGGGAGGGAGTGTTATGCCCTGCATTGACGTGTAACACGGTTGTTTGGTGTGTTAAATTCTGCTACAAATCAAGTGGATAGTTCGACGGATCTCCATGCTTGTTAACTCATCTTCGTGTGGTTTAAAAGAACCGCTCTTTATGGAAAGAAAGTAAGCGGTCCGAACACCAAGTATTGCTCGAGCAGGAGGGAACTGATTTCCTGGGACCAGTCGGACAGCTTGCCTGAAATTCGGCACATGAATACTCCCCCCCGCCGGTGATCAGCATTATTTGAGGCTAAGCGGTATAAATGAACAAGGGTTGCAGTACATGTTGACCAAGAACGGGCTCCTCACTCAAAATGATTTCTTCTACAACTGGAACCAAACTGACGACCGTGTTCGGAGGTGAGCACCACAGTCAAATGGTCTGTTGTTATTATACCAGGAACGTGCATTCCAATTTGGAACTCTTCACACGATGTGCTAGGCCAAATGACAATAACGGTACCTGTGAGAATCGTGAAGTTGATCTTTCATGTAAGCCCAAAGTGAAAAAAATAAACCACAGATCGAGAAAAGCTTGTGAAGAAAGCAACACCAGGTGGTTGAACAGAAGTTGCGGATTGCTCAAAGTTTCGGTCACCTGGGGTGGTCTTCGTCAGGAGTGTGACCACTTACCGATTCGCATACACTCTTGACGAAGACCACCCGAGGCGGCGGAACAATTGAGCACCACATAACTTCGGCTGAAAAAGGTTGTGTTGTTCTTTACAAGCTTTTCTGGAATTTACTAAATGTCAAACATTAACGTACAAGTTCTTATTTGACCGCCTTCGTACAGAATATGGCACGGATATTAAAAAACACCTACGGATCCATTTTGGATCAAAAGGAAGACGATAGTCAACTGTTTATTAAAATTAATGAATCAGATAGTATGGAAATAGTACTGTTTACTCTAAACCCTAGTTTAGGTTTGTACCATTTGTAAGGATGATCTTTTGTCACTCTCTCCACCCCGTCTCCATGCCTTAGGCAGTTTAATCACATGCTCTATTGTTCAACCATGGAATGTGAGACCGGCAATTTGTACTAGAATGACAAAATGTGCGTCCGTCACCACGAGACCGGTCACCGCATACGGAGAAACTATTTTGAGTTATGCGATTTTGATGTAAAATAGGTTAGGCCGTGATACAGACCTGGGGTGACAGAAAACAAAACCGGTGCTTGCTGAATGAATGAGCACAAAGAATAAGCAGGCAAGGAACAGTGAAATAGATCACAATGAGCATAAATCGATAAAACAGCGGGTGAATGTCACTTATGGATGGAGGTTTGGCAGATTTGAAGTTTGTACGGCGATTGTGAAAAGTTCAGTAGGTGGGATTCGAACCGGCGCATGAACGTCGCTTACGCTTTGTACGCGGGCGTTGATGGTCCGGTGGTTCCGTCACCAAATGATCAACCCGGATGATGTGTGTTCGAATCCCAGCACCAACGCCTGACTTAACTTATCACGTAAACCGACAGTACCCGCGTTCTGTGGTGCATCTCTCTCTCTCTCTGTGACGTGCTAGCCGACCATCCGTTCAGTTAATAAAATTACAATAAAAGTAATATGTACGAAGCAGTATATATTACACAACAGATAAACGGAAGCAGTATAACTTTTGAAGACCACATCCTCGTCCAAAGACTAGCTCACTACTTATGCTTGAATTTAGAAATAATGTCAGCTAGTTTGCTTGTAAGCACCGAAACACAAATACGTGAAACGGCACATCGGTTCTCACCGGTGTGTACACCTAAAGATGCACAATTGCCAATTTGGCTGCACCACACACCAGGAGCAGTTAGATAGACAAGTGACGATCGACAAGGTCCACGCGGTTCACCTCGCGCGCGCTCGGAGACCGTTGTGCTGAGCTTGACTAAAAATAGGATTAGAAAAACCAGCGCAACCCGCATTACGAAAGACGCGTTTATTCGGGACGCGGACAACACTAAATTGACGTGAGTATTGCCCTCAAAAAAAGAGAACAATGAGCTGATTGGGGTGATCATGAAAAATTCAGTTGGAACAAAACAGGAGACCAAACCTACATCTGGAACTAGCGTACGAGGCAAATGGGTTTTTCTCACCCACTAGGTATCATCACATATCACAAAATGGAACATATTCTTTCCTGAATTAATCATACACGATAGATGCAACACAGCTTAACCCGATGAGCACAGGCATTCAGTGATGTGTGGAATAGACGTACACACGCTAAACAGGAAAAAAACGAGGAATCACCACGTTATAATCCTCCACCCCACGGTGCATATCTGGTGTAACTAGATACCAACAATTCAATGCAACAGTCCAGTTCGAATGACGCAAACTGGAAAACGAAACGTGATTCGGATTCGCATTTGCAAGTAGACTGGAGACTGTCACTCAAACCAAACTCACCTTGAGTTCTTTTTGAACGGTATTGGCCATTTCGACCAAATGACCCACAGCGACCATCAAAGCGGAACAGAAAGTGAGGATCTGTTTATTTACACGCAGCTGATCCTCGGTTAGTGAACCGACATTTCTTGTGCGGAATTCCTGCAATTCCGGTGTCGGACGAGCACACGGGAGGGACGTGGGGGCAAAACAAAAAAAAACAACCGATTGTGATTAAAAACAGCTGTGATTTGTTTCCGGTACCAGCCGTGAATGTGGTATGCCAGTCAAATATGTAAAAACTTTTAAATAGTTACTGGTTCATTTTTTTGCAGAGCGCGGATGTGAGTTCTGTATTCGCCGTCCAATATGCAAACGGTTGTACACTTTGACGAGATGACTGATTAAAAACTCCAAGTTTATTTTTCATTTTACAAAGATACACGTTGCAGGAAGGAGGAAGCAGCCAATCAAAGGGCTGCCATTCAACACACACAATAAGGGACGTCAGGTGGTGGTGGTAGGATTCGAACATGCATCCCCGGGGTGACAATTTAGTGACATCACCACGGGGGCACCACCGCCCAAGTGGTTATTCGATGAAACAGTTTAAAATGCGATCAGAAGAAATGGATGGAAACGAGATGTATTCGGATAAAAAATAGGTTTGGTGGTAGACAGACGGTTTATTTAACTATCACTCGTGTGTTCCGGTCTCTAAAATGCAGTGTTTGAAACCTAACACAGTCACCCAGTTTTGGTGAGAAGCAGGTGTGCCACCGCCACCCGGTTTGAAACTCCCAATTCTACTTTACTGTGACCCGTTTCAGTTTCAACACACAAAGTTTCACAGCAAATCAGTTCATGTGACTGATCCAATCCCCAAGTCCTCGTTCTTAACTGTTTTTGTGAAACGGTTTCGTCTTATCGCGCTGACCTCAGTGGCTCTAAACTTGACCGAAAAGGCCACCATGAGTCGGTTGTAGTCGATCACCACAATTCCTCACGACCCCCTTCAGTCTGCATATAAACCAAATAGATCTACACTGGACGTCGTATTCACTCTCCAATTCAAATTTTTACTATAGGTAAATCACAAAGCTGATGCTTATTTAATCTATAGATTCAAAGATTTATTATGGGAATAACTTACAAGCTCATGCTTTTCTGGTCCCATAGGTTCGTGCGGTGGA